TGGTCAGTAGAAATACTTTTAGGTCTGGGTATGAAAAAATTCTTGGTAGGGAGCACTTCTCCCAAATGGGGCCCCACACCCGATAAAAATTTACACGTGCTGGATATTTATTTTGCGAGTAAGGGATCGTTTGGTTGGAAAATAAGTTATCCCAGAATTACTTATTTCGGAATTAATTATTCCGATATTGTTATCCGACACTATGGGATAAAAATAAGCTACAATCTTGAAATAACTAATCCTAAAATTAATTATATTATAATTTTATTCCAATCAAATATGAAATAATCTCATTCCAAATTTAATTTTGAAATTAATTATCTCTTATTCCTATTGCCAACTCTATACGTGCATTTTCTTATTTAACCACTTGAGCGTACATTTCTCAGCCCTCCTTTATACAATCTCCACTGTCACTGCTTCGACAATGGCGGCTTCTTCAACTTGCATGTTCAGATCCTCTTTCTTCTCTCCCAATCCCTATTCAAAGCAACAATCTCCTGCTAAATCTAACGGCATTCACTTCTTCACTCCTATTAAAGCCACAGCTTCTTCTACGGATGATGCAATCTCCGCATCTACACAACCTCAAAAACACCGACGCCCTGCTGACGAGAACATCCGTGAGGAAGCCCGCCGCCACATCTCTTCCCACAATTTCTCTGCCAGGTATCACCTACCCATTGCCCTTCCACTTCGACGGTGTATTTTAGTTCATGGGTTATTGCTTTATTCCTGTTTTGGTTTCTGTATTATTCGATTGAGTTCATTTAATCTTCAATACATTCAAATGTGTGGTTTTCAGTTCCTGAAACTAACAGACAGTGAAAAAACTTTAACGGGATTGTTATGTTAAATGAAAAAAAGAAAAAAAAATAGCAGAAATAGTGTGGCAATCAAAAAGCGCTCTTTCCAAGGTATTCTTGATTAATCATCCTTCAAGATTCCTTTTTTTTCCGTTGTTTTTCAGCTTAATTTGTATCCTATGCGAGAAAATAATTGGGTTCTAAATTATGGGTCGTCCTTGGAATTTTGAGTATTGGTAATGTTAATGATGTGAGAGAGCTTGATAGTTGATTGAGGCAAATGAAGAATGATTCAGAAAGGATCAAACTCCTCACGAGATTTGAAGTAATATAGCTGCATACTCTTAATTTGATGCGCATCTACTATCGGTGCAGGAGCATCAAAGATGATCTGTTGCAGGCAGAGTTTACACCTTATTCACCTTTTATCTTATGTTTGTTTTTAATAATGATTCTGTTAAGTTTTTATACAACGTTAACTCAGGGATCAAAATTGCACATTTGTTTTAATTAAAGGCTGAGTATACTCAGCTGAATAATACGGGAATCAAAACTGGAATAATGGAATAGCAGATCGACTAAATTGCTTTTTCCCCAGCTGATTAACAAATCATATGAATGTATATTTATGTAAAGTTCCTGTCTACTTCACCACTAAGTGGTTGTAATTGTACTAGGCACCTACTTAAAATTTTGCATCTACTTCTACAGGTATGTGCCTTTTAATGCTGATCCTAACTCCAGTGAGTGGTATTCTCTCGACGAGATCATTTACCGCAGCCGCTCCGGTGGCCTACTTGATGTCCAACATGATATGGATGCTCTCAAGAAGTTTGATGGCCAGTACTGGCGCTCCCTGTTTGATTCCCGGGTGGGCAAGACCACTTGGCCTTATGGTTCTGGTGTTTGGTCCAAGAAGGAATGGGTCCTACCTGAAATTGACAGTGATGATATTGTCAGTGCTTTTGAAGGAAATTCCAATCTTTTTTGGGCTGAGCGTTTCGGCAAACAGTTCCTTGGCATGAGTGATTTGTGGGTCAAACATTGTGGAATCAGCCACACTGGTAGCTTTAAGGATCTTGGCATGACTGTACTGGTGAGTCAAGTAAATCGGTTGCGGAAAATGCATAAACCAGTCGTGGGTGTCGGCTGTGCTTCCACTGGAGACACGTCAGCTGCACTGTCGGCTTACTGCGCATCTGCAGGCATCCCATCAATTGTATTCTTACCTGCAAATAAGATTTCTATGGCGCAACTTGTTCAACCAATAGCCAATGGGGCTTTTGTGTTGAGTCTTGACACTGATTTTGATGGATGCATGCAGTTGATTCGCGAAGTCACAGCTGAGTTGCCCATTTACTTGGCAAATTCCTTGAATAGTTTGAGGCTAGAAGGGCAAAAGACGGCAGCTATAGAGATTCTGCAGCAGTTTGACTGGGAAGTTCCTGATTGGGTGATAATTCCTGGTGGAAACCTGGGCAATATATATGCATTTTATAAAGGTTTTCAAATGTGCAAGGAGTTGGGACTTGTTGATCGTATCCCGAGACTTGTTTGTGCTCAAGCAGCCAATGCAAATCCACTTTACTTGCATTATAAATCTGGCTGGAAAGAATTCAAATCTGTCAAGGCAAATACAACATTTGCATCTGCTATACAGATTGGTGACCCTGTATCTATCGATAGGGCTGTTTATGCTCTGAAGAACTCCAATGGGATAGTGGAGGAGGCAACTGAGGAAGAGTTGATGGATGCAATGGCTCAGGCGGATTCAACTGGGATGTTCATATGCCCCCACACTGGTGTGGCATTGACAGCTCTATCCAAGCTGAGAAAGACGGGGGTTATTAGGCCAACTGATAGGACCGTGGTTGTGAGTACAGCTCATGGGTTGAAGTTTACTCAATCCAAGGTTGATTATCATTCAAAAGAAATAAAGAACATGGAGTGCCGGTTTGCTAATCCACCAGTGCAGGTGAAAGCAGACTTCGGATCAGTCATGGATGTTCTCAAGAAATATCTATTGAGCAAAAATTCCAAGTTCTAATTTGTTGGCAGAGTAAGTTCTGCTTATATACCAAATCATCATCTTTTGGTTCATCTCGTTCACTTCATGGTGTAGAATTTGGTTAGATGCTGATCCATCTGCTGGTAGAATTAGGCAGTCATGAAAGGCTCAGAGTTTCTTATGAGCGAAATAAACTTTTAAGTAATTCAATGGAACATTTTGGCGGTTGTAACTTTCTGCTATTTATATGCTCCTTTGATTATGTTGGCAAGTACCAGAATTGTTACTGAAAATTTTGTAGCATAGCATCTGCCTAATTTGAGTGGTTTTTTCCAGTACTTTGAGGGGATATTACCCTTGTTCATTTATATCCTACACAGAACATGAAAACAGAGGAAAAAGCCCCTCAAATGGGATTGTTTATCGTCTGGAATTTCTATGTTACCCCAAAGTGCTTTGATAGCTAAAAGTGAAAATCCAACCTTTTCTTGGAAGGGGAAACAAGTTTATTTTACATGTCGATGATCACCTCAGTAGGGTCATCGATATCTTAAAGAGGATTCATTTTTAACACTGTTTTGATTAGTTTCTCTTTGAGCCGAGGGTCTATTGGAAACAACCTATCTTATGTCTATTCTCACAAGGTAGGGGTAAGATCTGCGTACACACTATCCTCCCAGACCCCACGGTATTTGATTAGTTTCTCTTTGCATGTAACTCTCTTGCTTTCCCAGAAAGGCTCTCAGTTGGTAACTTATTAGAATTTCTCACCAAAATCTCTAATCTTGAACCACACAACAATGTTCTTTTGCATGCTTTCTGTTACATTGTTCTAAATGGGGAGAACGCTGCATTACTCAAGTATGCTCTCTTTGGCAACTGGAAGAACGGACATACTATTGGTCCCTGTGCTCTATTTAGTTCTGCGTCAACTGCTTTCTACATTTAGTTTAGTTGTTCTCAATCACTGGTTTTAAACTCTGCTTCACCGGAGTCCCTAACTTTAGTGCTGAAATAAGAATTAGTATTTGATTTGCGCATATGATTTGGGTGGACTGGAATTGTGGTTAATGCTGCTCGATGTGCTGAGAGAGTACTCAGACTGGGGGTGTTCATGGTTCGGTTTGGATCGATTTTCCCTAAAAAAAAACCAAACCAAGTAAGTCGGTTCTTAAATTATTGGAACCAAACCAAATCAATTGAGTCGGTTTTTTAGCGATTCGGTTTTTGTCGGTTTTTATCACGGGTTTTTCGATTATTTATCGTTTTTTTTCTTCTTATTATGAGATATACACTACCAAACACATATTTCGGCGACTACATTTTCAACGTAACACTATCAAACCAATTGCTCTTTGAGAAATCTATCATTTGCCATGATATTTTGATAATTGAATCAAATAGTGATGAATAATTTAAGTACTCAATTAAAAATCAATTATTTTTAACATGAAATAATTCTTGTACTTGGCAAAAGCAAATTGCCAATCAAGCTAGAATGTAAAAGCAAAGAATTAGATTATTGTAATAGCAAATAACTAGACTTAAAATACAAACGACTAATTAATATGTACCATAATATTTCAAAAACTTTATATAAAAATATACATATATATATATAGGTGTAATAATAAATTTAAATAGCTACTTCTATAGTCGGTTTGGTTCAATTTTTCTAGTTATTTTTTAATTAAAACCAAAATCAAACCAAACTTGATCGGTTTTTAAAATTCAAAACCAAAATCAAACCTAAAAAATATCGATTTTTTTGGTCGGCTTGGTTCAGTTTTCGATTTTTCGAATTTCCGTGAACACCCCTACCTCAGACGTTCTTGCATATCTATGACTTGACAAATTGGCGTTTCCCACTGGCATTGCTGCTGAAACTGTTGCCTGATTTTTGAGGTTAAATATTATTAACGGCACTAATAAGTAATCTGCTGTATTCTGGAGATAGATCGAGTTTATTCTTATAAAAGGGCATATGTAAAATATTCCTTTTTTTTTTTTTTGGATAACTGGGAAATTCATTGTTTCAGCCTCAAAACTCTATAAACAATAGGCCTGCCTCTTTCACCTTCTCAACCTAAATATCAGACTTGCTTCCCCAAAATAACTTAATGGATTTAGAACAACATAATACTGATGGACACACAACTCCTCGGTAGCACCATGAAAGAAGTTAGTAGTGAAAATTAGTACACATTATATTTCAAGGAGCAACTGAAAACATTTTTTTTTTGGTTCCTCTAGCAGAAGATTGATCGATGACCAACATATTACAGGACTAAGCCATATTCTCATGTAATAGACAGCACAACAAATGGATACTAGTACAACATATATTTACATATTCATAGCCTGTGTAATGGCCTCTTTTTCTCTCATTTTCCATGTGGTCTGCACTGTTCCAGTAGACATCACCTTTCTGTATGTGTGCTCAGGTGAAGCTACTTTCTCCATAGGAGAGTCATCTCTAAGTTCTCTGATTGTGGATATCAGCTAATATACTAGAGCATTGCAGATGACGACTAAAGTAGAACAACGGCAACTGCAACTAGCACTGCTACAGTAAATATCAGAGCCTGCAGTAGTGATCTTATTTGAGATAAATGTACAAAGGTAAATAGATTGAGAACTTTTAGGACAAAAATGCTGCCGATCCTACAAATAACCGACGATTAGATTTCCTTGTTTTTTTTTTACTTAGGAAGGTGAGAAAAAAGTGCAATAAAGAAATGGCACTAAGCTTGTGCTGAGAGAAACTAGATTTCCTTGAAATTATCAGGAGTTTTAGGTGATCAAGCTGAAATCAGAATCGATGTAACTTGCACTTAAGGATGGTAACTCACAGCTATCGCATTGGCAGCAAGCCCTGCTCGCTCCCTTGGATCTTTGTGGTAGTAATTCCCAAAGTAAAGAATTGTTGCATAATACCACATGAATGGGAATACAAAACCAAGCAGCAGACTGCAATTATAATAGATAAGAGGAGAAGAACGCAAGTTAGAGCATGGTAACATACTGATAGAAAAAGAAGCCTAGATTAGGATACAAATGATACAATGATAGAAGAGAGAGGATGCGAACGAGAAAAGGAGCAACAAGCACGACACTCACGAAAACCATCCTATTCCACAACCAAAGCAAGGAAGAGGTCTGTCAAAGATTCCCAACCGATTGTCTTCCACATCTTTGAGGAGCATATAGTTGTCTCTGGGATGCTCTTTGGCATCTTGCAGAAGATCTGTATGCATAAAATGACTAAGCAACCACTACTGATATAACCAATAATACAAAGTAGGTCGACAGTGGTCAGATGGAGTAGACTGCAGCAACAGAATATATTAAGATCCAAGCTACCAAGTAAGTATCTCCATTTATTTACTTAAAAAATTTATTTTGAAAAGTAGTATCTCTCTCCATTTAATATCAAAAGGTAAATCTTCAAGTTTGATTAGTAACAAATATATGAACGTCAAAATACTTCTTCAGTAAATACTTTTCTGAAGTCCTAATTCATGCTTGACCTTGTATTCTGAATCTTATAGAGAGGTTAAACTTTAGTATATTGAATCCAACCCTGAAACATATGTATCCTTCAAGGGCTAACAAAGCTCAACATATGATGCCTAAAAGGCTATTGGGTCTTCTCATTACCTTTGAGGTAAGAGTACAAAAGAAACAAATAATTGATCATGAGCTTACTATAAGCTTAAAAAGCAGAAGTACAGAATTCTATTTTCTTGAATTTAATGCTAATTAACGATAGACACTTATGGTCCGGCCCTTCCCCGGACCCCCCGCATAGCAGGAGCTTAGTGCACCGGGCTGCCCTTTTAACCATATAGGAGATAAGAAAGTCAGATGGCTTTACTCTGTCAAAAATGCAATAATTTTGTGACGCTTTAGCAAAGAGCTAAAAGGACAGTGTTCATGTTAATACTGTATACCATCACTGATACTAAAGCATGAATGCACGATAGCATTCAAGTCATCATCTAACTTATTCTGACCAATGTGTCCTCTGAACATGAAACAACGAGAAAAATGGACGGGTTTATCCTGAAGGACATATTAAACCAGAAAATTCAGTCCTTGTTTTTCTTTGTACAAAGACGAGGTCAATCACTAGTGCAACCGGATTACATCTTAAATCAATAACCACAGCATCTAACAATGCATCGCAGTACCAGATAGTCAAAATAGAGAATACACCTTATTGACATATTACAATCCCAGTCATTGTAGTCAAATGTTTTCAAAATAATGCAATTCCAAGATAGAGTGATTACTACCATTACCCATCTCCACAATATAATCCAACTTATCAAATTTCAAACAAAGAACATACATTGGATTTTGTATCATCCATGCTTGTAGAAGAATTGTATAAAAGGCCAGACTCATAATGTTACCCAAAGGCAAAAACATCAGATTTAAGAAATTGTTTTACGAGATTCATTAAGAAAACAAAGTATGGATCTGGCTACTAATATCAAAGACGGTTACATACTCTGATCCATTTGCTATTCTGGGTTCTGATCCTCAATTCCTCCTCCACGACTCCTGCAACAAGTGATATTTGCAACTTTAACAGCCGTTGCTCTGGTCTAATTGTGCTAAAACTCAATAGCAAATGAAGTGTTGGACAAGGAAATAATACCATCTTTGAAACAAAAATACCATCTTTTGGAAGAAAATTCAACAGAACCTTCATCAAGTGGAGTCAAATAAGCATCTAACTTATAATTGGTCCATCTAAATGGATAAAAGAGGTTGGGTTTAACTTCAACCAAACATGATATTAGTAACCACTCAAATTCCCAGGTAAGGTTGAAATGGAAGACCTCTAATATTCCTCGAAAACATGACTTCAACACCGATTGCAATTCTGCTATCTTATAACAAAAAAAAAAACTCAAGTTTTAGGCCACAGTTGAAGTTTTTGAAATTGCTAACAACTCTCTAAACTCACAAGACTACACTCAACTCTTAGTCAAACACCATTAAGAAACTACTTAACCCATAAGACCTCACTATCAAATGTCTAGCCTCTTGCCTAGTTTATCTTCAGGCATGTGTGCATGAAACAAAAACCAAACAAAGACAGAAGCAGAAAGCAGAAGCACATTGTTTCAAACCTCCACAGCTTTTATAATTCTCACTCCATAAGTCCTAGCCAAACGAGACCACGAGTAGAGCTACAGTAGAACCAATAACAACTCATAATTAATGAGATATCTCTTTCGGACAATAAAGCACAATCCAGATAAGTCCCTCTATTCCACTATTGCTCATACTTGGAAACAATTCACTGTCTTCTCTAGTAATTTTTCTTTTAAACCCAAAAGCATAAGGATACACAAAAGAGAACTGCAACGGGTTCAATTACATCGTATATGAAAATTACAACATAATTTACCACTCTTTGAAACCTTTCAAATGCAGCTCCAATAGATGACCAGGGCATATGCAAGAAGACCAAGAATGAAGGAAATATTCCCTAATGTTCTATATACCTAGTCTTATAGAACCCTAATTTATCTTAAAAACAATTTACTTATCAGTATTAGAATGAAATGAACCTGATTAGAGCAAAAAGTATATACATATATACACATAGTTGAGAGAGAAAATATAGAGGATTCATATCAAAGACTTCAACTAATTAGGAATTTAAGCTTAATTAATTGATTGACTGATTGGCATATATACCGAACCCAAAACCAAAGATAAAGAAGAGAATAAATGAAATACAAAAATGTCTTACCCCAAACTGAAGAGCCGGAGAGGATTGCGAGAAAGTCTCAAAAATGCGAATGGAAAAAAGGAAGAATCAAATTTGGTCACTGAAAGCAGCGACGACCGCTTTCTCCTCCGTAATCAGTATGCTCCGCTCTGGAGTTCGTGCACTGAACCGGTGGTTTTGGACCGGCCAGTTAAAGACTGGTTGTTCACAAAAAAGCAGCGTTCAATTACGAGTTTTATTGAGTAATTACTTTTCGAACCCCTAAGGTTTAATAAAATACACACACTATCCCAGTCCCCGGGTAAGTTTTTTTTTTTTCTTTTCCCAAACTAGGAGGATCTATAGTGTATCCATACTTCCTCTCCATGGTGACTCGAACCCAGGACCTAACGATCGTAGGTGGAGGTGCTTTTACCAACTGAGCAAGCCTCACTTGTCTCCCCGGGTAGGTACAAATGGCCGAATTGACATTATTTTTTGGGTGCAAAGGATAACTATTTATATTATGTTAAGGTGGAATAGTACAAGGAGCATAAGGAAACATAATTATAGTCCTAGGGGGCGGCCTCATGTTGGATCGTGACAATAGGGGAAGAGGTTGGGCAGAAGGAAAAACTATCAGACAGATTTTTCTATCGATTGAAGTTATTACGCTGACTGATTAAATCTCTTCCTAACGCCTTTAGGAAGGGGGGACCGGGGAGAAACTACTACTAGTGGATCCCAAATCTTGAGGAATATAAAAAGATTGTCCAAAAGGACTTTGCAAACAGTTGGAGGGCGGAAGAGCTAGTGGTGCCACTCTTCTAACAAAAAGTTTGTCTGATTGGCAGTCCTCCAAAGCTTTGCAAATAAAAGGTGGTAGTTGTCCAAAGCCAGTGATACCTGTTGAACTATTTATATGACTGCCAGTTTTTGCTAGTAAATCAGCTACTTGGTTTTGCTCCCTATAATTGTAATGTATGAGTGGATCATCTAGTTGTACGAATAGAAACCTGCAATCATGTATAAGATTAGCATATAGAAGATGCGATGCCTGTAATATAGTAATGACTGCCTGTGCATCCAGGTTAACTTCGGATGGTTTGTATCCATGAATAAAAGCCAATTGCAAACCGTGATATAGTGCAAGTAATTCAGTTTCAACACTCCCATGCGAGATATGGTGTCCCAAACTATGAGCCAGGTACCTGACGAGTCACGTATTACCCTGCCAATTCTGCCCTGACCTGTATTCAATCTAGTTGAACCATCACTGTTTAGTTTAAAAGTTGCAATATTAGGGGGTGCCATTTGAGAGGTAGAGGTATACGATTATGTAGAAAGGGTGGTCGTACGACAATGTAATAGTACTCTGCTTCCATGTTAAGTATATGAGTCGAGGAGAGTGATGTTGTATGTGCACGAAAGACTTTTTTATTTCTAGCTAGCCATATATGCCAGAAGCAGAAAGGTATGAGTATGAATTTTGGGATATTGAAGGAGTTGGGAACGTCGTTGTGTAACATGATTCGTTTCAGCCACTGGATTGGGGGGTTCGCAAGAGTAATCAGTCTAGCGGTTTCTCGGAGCATATTAAGGTTAGACCAGAGTTGTGTGGATATTGGGCATTCTAGGAGGAGATGGGTAATATTTTCGGTATTACTGAGGCAGTGGACAAGTATCAGTGGTAAGTATGCCTAAGTGATGATAATGCGCTGTCGTGGGTAGTCCATGCCACAGAAAATATTTTATTTTCGGAGGTATTTGGAGTTTTCAAATCTACTCGAAGCAGGGGTGGATTTAGGGGGGCGCAAGGGGTTCACTGAACCCCCTTCGTCGAAAAAATACACTGTATATATAAGGCAAAATCTGTTTTTTACCTCTATATATTAAGTTTTGAACCCCCTTAACACAATCCAAAAGTGTAGTTTATTGGTCAAGGGGGTTCAAAATCTACATAAGGTCATGAGTTCAATTCCCACTAGATACAAAAAAAACTTTTTGAACCCCCTTCATGAAGATCCTGCCTCCGCCGCTGACTTGAAGGAGTGAGTAGGGGCTGGAGGGAGTAGATGGCAGTAGAGTGACCATGGGAGAGATCGGTTGAGATAGTAGTTGTACAGGATATGTTGAGACAGTAGTTGTATAGGCTTGACGTGGTAGTGGCCCAATGACAGAATTGCGAAGTGGTGTATTGTAGTTTAACCAGGAGTCTGTCCAAAAACTAGTAAGAGAACCATTACCAACAATTCATTTTATTCTTTTTTGGCATAGTTGCCATCCAGTGACAAGGATATGAGAAATTTACGATCAAAGAATAATTCTTTTGACTCTCGAAATTCAAACACAGTAATATGAATTGGGACAAATGAAATAGTTTATTAGTTTAAGTATATGTTTGAGAAGTATTCTTATCCATTGGAACTGTTTTTTTAGTTTAACTTCTATTTACTAATATTGTAAATAAGTTACTCCTATATTATTCCGTTAATTAAAATTTAAAATAATATAATCTAATAAGTGAAATATATAGTAAAATGAAAAATAAGACATAATTTACTGCAATGTATATGGGCTAAATCTTTCCATAATTGGCTTTGTTCTAGTGGAAGTCAAATCAAGTGGCATTATGATTTGAATTAAACTCACAAAAGGACTAACCAATATTGAGAGGTGGAGATTTGAAGTAGCCTCCTAAAACTTAGAGCATGCATAAGTAAAGGGAAGGATCTGAATAAAACAACAAGAACGATGTCCCAATCACAAACAACGTTGTTGTTCCATATATCATTTTTCATAAATATTTTTTCAAAAACATTCACATATATTCATAACAAGAAATTTTCTGTTTTTTTGGTAGTGGTGGTGGTGGTGGTGGCACATGCATGCATGGATGTGTTCCGCCCTGTAATGGCCAAACCAAACGGGTGCAAGTGGTGCTCGTGTTGGTTTGGTAGCGACCAGAGGCGGATATAGAGCGGATCAATGGATTCAACATCCATTGCTTCGCTCGATCCATGAGTACACAAGCAAAAAATTAACATATTCTGAACTCACGGGTTATAAATCCTAGATTCACCCTCTGCCAACCATATATTTAAATAGCATGGTAAAGAGTGGAAGTTCCCGAGATGAAACCACCGTAGCTGTGGCCATAGACAGAGACAAGAACAGCCAATATGCTGTCCGATGGGCGGTTGATAACCTCAATATAAAGAATGGCCAAATCATCCTTATCCACGTTCATGTCCAAGAAAACCTGCATTCCCATTCTCGTATATATCAGAATTAATCCTCTAGAAACTGATTTCAATCAACTTAATTTTTGTGTAATAATTTGATTGTTTTTTACGCTGGTTGTCACTTTGTATTATGTTGTTCATTGTGTCATATACATTGCAGATAGCATGATTCCTAAAGAAGGCCATTCTCCAACGCTGGCTGAAATGAATCAGTTCTTTCTTCCTTATCGTGGAATTTGTGCTCGAAAGGGGGTAATAACCTTGTTCTCATCCAATTTTTTCCCTGCTTGATCTCTTTAAATCAACCTTGTTAGTATTCTAATCCACTTTGTGGAGATTATGAAGGAACACGAAAAGGGCTAATCGATGATTTGATGCTTTAACAACTTATTTGGATGGTTGTTATGTATCGTTTCATAATGTATCGTATAATATGTATTGTATTGTACTGTATCATCTTGGTATATACAATGTTTGCATAGATTGTATTGTTTTCCGTCATTTCATGATGTCATGTACCAACAATATGAAGAATAAACTTGCAATATTATTAAAAAAAAAGTAAGATAAGAGGTAATATTATTATATAAAAAGGTAGGGTAAATGATAAAATATGATTTTTTTTAATAATAAAAAAGGGCAAGATGAGAGAAAAAAAATAATAAAACGACGCGACCACACCAAATCGGTTGTTCTATAAAGTGACATTTTTTGTCGTTACGTAATGACGGATTTAACGATACAATACAATAAAATTTAAGTAACAATAAAATAATACGATACAATACAACAGGTAACAACCAGAGGGGGACCTATGATTTGAAGGTCAGGAGTGCATTTCTGGATTCAATCAAAATTTACTTTGTATATAGGGTGCCCACTACTAATATATTACTACTAATTTCTAAAGACATATACATGAATACATGGAATTTTTGCCGAATTCTACGGGTTCCGGTGACCCCTCTCGGTATAGCATCGGTCTGCCTCTGGTAACAACCATCCAAACAAGCTGTAAGTTAAACATTATTTGGTGTTTGGTTTAATTTTGGGTTTTTTCTAGCAATTAGCATGATATTCTGGCCTTATCAGTTGTATATTAAGTTAAAAACTGTGAGGAAGACAAAGCATTAAATGGTATTATAGCAAAGTGGCTACAAACAGTTTTCTTCATATTTTAAGGTGAGAAGATCCAAACATGTTGGAAATCACTTATATATGCAGTTGTGAAATATGAAGAAGATCCAAATATCTTGGAAATCACTTATACATGTAGTTGTGAGCATTCTGTAAATGTAATTACTTTGATCATTGCAGATTCAAGCAAAGGAAGTAATTCTCCAGGACGACGACGTTGCACATGCATTAGCTGAGTATATCACTCAGACCTTCATCACCACCATTGTCGTTGGCGCTTCAACCCGGAATGCCCTAGCAAGGTATAACTTCTATTAGTTTCCATGTCCTTAGTTGTGCTTTTGGGAGTCCACAGTATGTTAAGCAGGAAACTTAAGCTCCTTTTTTCCCTGTTTTTGAGCACTTGTTGAGTCATGGAACTCTTAGAAACTTGTCTCTCATAGGTTTTTTAAGCAGGGTCTCGGGGGTTCGAGCTGTGGAATCAGCCACTGATGCTTGCATTAGGGTAGACTTTCTACATCACACCCCCTTAGGGTGCGGAAGGACCCTGTGTGAATATGGGATGTTTTGTGCACATCAATTGCTTCCTTGGTTTTTCTTTGTATTTAAAGGAGTTCTAATATGCTTTCATGAGCCGAGGGTCTATTAGAAACAACCTCTCTATACTCAGAAGAAAGGGGTAAGGTCTCCATATGCACCACCCTCCCCAGACCCCACGGTGTGGGATAATACTGGGTAGTTGTGGCAAAATAGTTAAAAGAAAACAGTTAACCACCCATATTATCCACTAAAAAATGGATTGGATAATGAACTATTTTTAAAAAACGGGTCAAATATGGATAAGAACCATATTATCCATTTAGAAAATGGATAACCAACAGGTAACCAATGTATAACCAATGGGTCTAACTTTTAGATTTATAAAACATCAAATTGGGGGTTCCTCAAGATAGGAAGACTAGCAATTCTTCCAAAAGTGATTATATGCAAGAAGTCATGTATAATATGGGTAATCATATTATCCGCCGGTTAATCTGTTTTTTATCCGTATTAAAGATGGGTTGGATCGGAGAATTTATCCATTTTTCATTACCCGTTTTCGGCTCGAACCATATCCGACCCGACCCGACTGTTTGCCACTATACTGGGTATGTTGTTGTTGTTGTTAAAGGAGTTCTAATTTGCTTCCTTGGTTTTTCCTTGTATTTAAAGGAGTTATAATTCTTGGCTTTCTATGTCAGAGCATTTAAAAACCAAGATGTGCCAAGCTCTTTAACCAGATCAGTGCCTGAATTCTGCTCAATATATGCAATATCAAGAGGAAAAGTTCTAAAACTTAAGTCAGCAAGTCAACCTGCCACACCTAGCAGTAAAGCAAGCTCCGGCCAATCATCTCAAACAGGATCTACACAAGATTCCCCAGTTTCTCAAGCACTTACCGCGTAAGTATATTCACAAAATCTTCCATATGATCAGAGGCGGATTCAGAATTTAAACTCTATGGGTTCAACCTTTAAGGTTCTTAGTATTAAACTCATTATATCCTTAAAGTTATGGGTTCATATCTATAATTTATTGCAATTTCAGTGAATTTTTACGCATAAATCTATGCTTTGTATCGAAAGTTATGGGTTCAATTGAATCGTTGCTATAGGGCTACATTCGCCCCTGAACATGGTCGATGAAAGTACGATTCTTCATGGTTTAAAGCGACTGTATAGACTATAGAGTCTAGACTCTTTTTAGCTTATTACTCCAAAAGATTTTTTCTTCTCATGATTAGTTTCTAAATTTGATAATGCTGGATCAAACAAAGAAGTATAAAAGGGGCTAAGTCTCAAACATGAGGCATGTATGTCTTGACATCTTATTTCATGATTTTAATACACAAATTTTCAGCCAGGGGAGTTGGAGAAGTACAGGATCTTCTGAGTTTATCGGTGCAGGTAGCCAGAGCATATCATTTGATAGCAGCAGTGCGTCGGATAGGCTTCCTGTGAGCCAGAATGCTTCACCAAACTACAGCAGTGCCAGTGAGGGTACGCCACAGGCATTCTCGGACAGCCAACACAGCAGCACAGCTCCTTCACCAAATCATCAATCTGTTAACAATATCGATGAACTTATCAAGAAAACTCAACTAGTGAGACAGCCTGGCAGCAAGAATCTTACTCCTGCACAATCATTGGATCATAGTGGTGAATTGGGTGAAGGGATGCCAAAACCAGAACTGCCCGGAAGCAGTGAAAATTCCTCTCAGAATTCAAATACGGATTTTATTCAAATACTACATGACAGACACCTTGATCATGACCTAATACCTTCATCCCAGCGCCCAGTCAATAACCTAAATCTTCGTATCCACACTAAAGAGAATTCATCCTACTCTACATCTGGTTCAAGTAATCTTTCTGGCTCCTCAAATTTCCGGTCCTCTGATATGTCCTTTGAGCATTTGGACTCTTGTCACATTTCAGATGCTTCTAGGTGCTCCGTCTCCCCCCAAAATGCAGTAAGTTCAAATATGTTCCATTGATCTGGCAAAAATGAATAAACCTTGGATTCACTAACCATTTTAGCTGTTTGCAACACTTGTTATTACACTATTTGCTACATCAGCAAACATCTAAGGCCATTATGTTTGTTGAAGTTTGGCAAAATGCCAAAGTCCCACATTGGTTGGGAGTTAAGTTTGGGGGGATT